GGATCAAATCCTATGGTATGACCATTCAGATGAAACCTCTTCAGCAGCATTTTCACATGGTACTATTTATTTAGTATGTAGTTCTATTTTTTGAGTCTGTGGATGAAATCCTATGATGTTACCATTCAAACGAAACCCGTTTAGCAGCGCTTCTACATGGTACTTTTAGTTTTTCAGCATCCTACATAATGAAATTTGGAAATTTATTTTGTTGAATTAAGACTTTGGCCAGTTTAGGGTTAACAGGTCTCAACCATTTCCGTGGGAGTTGATTTTTTTTTTATTTGTGTAAAATATATTCATTCTTTTCTTTTAAGAAACTATAATTATAGCCACTGAATACGTGAGTGAAAACCCTTTGCCTACAACATCACTATCGCGATGATGGTCAACAGAGACAATGATACGATTGAAATGATAAATATGAAAAATCATATATAGGAACTGCTGGGGTGAGGAATTAAATGAAAGAAGATCATCGCAGTTAAAGACGCAGCTCTTCCAAGGGCGAAAAACAAAGCCTCAAAAAAAATTTCAGCCTTTCCTTCCGCAACTGCAAAAGTTGGGTCTTAGACTGCGATAATCTTCTTTCATTTAATGATATTATCTCTTTGTTAGCACTTACTAGTCACGATTTGTTAGCCATTCGCCCGGTTTGTCTGCAGTCCCTGCCCACTCCCGCCCTTAAGGAGTCGGCGTTTTATTGCCAAATTCTCGTAACCTCTGCTCTGCTTTGCGACAACAAACTCAGATCACGCTGTACTTAACTCTCTGTGCTCTGTGTAGCCTGCGCCGGGCTAGCTTTCTAATCTGGGGGATATCGCGAGAAGTCATGCGCGAAAGGCTCGCGGAATGAGAAGCGCGACAGAGGGGCAGGCGAAGAAAGGACGAGAAAGATTACAATACAAATAAATTAACTTGTTTGAATTTACCTTTGCGTTTGAACCCCAGATCCCGCCATCCAAGTTGCCAGGCACTTTGGAAGGTACCATAATGACTGATGGCCGCTGGCTTTGCAGGTCATATACTGGCAGGTGAGCGGATGAAGCCGATACTTGTAGGTGACAGGAACACTGACAGCAAGGCTTTGCCTGGAGTCCCATCTCATACGGTGTCAAGGCTCTGTGAGTACCACTATATGAAGCTAATCCTTGGTATGGTGAAAGCCCTGAATTGGAGGCCATATAGTCATATGGCACTGTACCGTAAATACTCGATGGATACGACGACAATCCCTCGGCTGCACCATTTTGTTGAAGAAAAGTTCCTTTATGGGAATCAATGTTGTTGCTACTGTAAATCTGCTGGGTACTCTTTTGAGTATCAGGAACGCTTTCTGCGGCACTCACAGGATAATACTGCCCTTCATGTCCATTGATCTCATAAATTGGAACCACCGTGAACGCGCTTCCTATCTTTATTTCCGGTGTAGATGTATCCATGGAAACAGCCGTATGGCTTGCAGTGGTGTTAGTAACGGTCAACTGCTCAGGAAACATGTCGCTTGATTGGGTAGTTGATACGTTGTCGTAAGGTGCCAAGCCGTTGGTTGTTCTCACGGGCAAACTCTTGTCGCCTCTTGCAGTGGTGTTGTATTCACTCTCCTTTACATGAATAGTGTTGTTGTTTATAGCAAACCGTTCGGCAAAGGCGCCAACTTCTCTCTCCTGACGCTGGTTGAGATTCCTGACTTCACTGCATTCGCCTTCGTCAGAATCAACAGGCTCTAGTTTTGGGCAAACAGTTGTGATGTCGTGGAGTGAATACATCATCGTTTACGGCCTTCTGTAAGGTTAGGGTTTATAAGGGCCGAAACATATTAGTGAGATCTTCACTGCAGCTTAAACACCAACAAGCCCTCCGGTGCCAGCTCTAAAATAAAAATTAATAATGAATTAATAAGCTCCTTTTAACTTAAAAAGCTATGAATCTGGAGGTAGAGGGATCTGACTATCACAGGGAGAATTCAAATTGTCAAAACCTTTATCATCCCTATCTTCTTATATTTTATTAAACTAAACTAAACATATCGCATTCATTGGATCATTTGTGAAAGAGGCAAACAAAATTATCTTTGATTTAATGTGGAAAGGGAAGGATAAAGTTAAACGCTTTGCACTCAGTAGTGACATCGAAGATGGAGGACTTAAGGCCCCACATTTAAATAGATTAGCATTCGATTCTTTCGCCGCATTTCTGCCTTAACTAATTTTCATGTAAATAAAGGAAACATGTACTGGGGTCTGTGTATCACTACGTACTATTGTGTGTGTGCTGTATATATGTTTGGTTTCGCTTTCTTTAGTTTTCTTATGTATTTTTTCGTAATCATAATTAGAGAGTGTAAAACATTGTCATTAATACACGAACTCATTGTAAAACAAAATAAAAAATAATTAAAAAACAAAAAGTTAAATAAAACAAGGTATATGTCAAAAAAGAAAACTTTAAATTCTGTTCGAGTTGCTTATGTGTATCCTCACTTGCTTGGAGAAAAATGGCAATAATTTTTGGGGCTTAATTCACAGGACTTCGAGTCAGATCCACGGATTTATTCCTCGTACTCACTTCAATGCTCATTCTATAATTGATTAATAATTTTTCTAGCCTGTAGTCATATTTTTAACGCCGGAAGGTGAAATTCTCTAAATAAAAAAATTAATAATAAATATTTTTAACATTCATAGACTGCCATCACTGAGGATTTATTATCATTTTCCATTGACAAGAAACGAGAAACTATGTGGAGGGGGGACTTTGCAGTTACAAGTCACCAAGAGTTAACAAAATTTTGTATTATACAAAAATTAAGGCAAAATGCAAAGTGTTTCTTCATTGACGGTTTGACTGAGTTGATAGGCCGTGAATTGGCCCAGGCAAAATAATGTAATGCCATTCTTCCCCTTGTGACTATACTGTCTTTCCGGGTCTTTCCGCGACGGTGGTTTTGCAGCTCTCTCCTCTGCAGAGTCTCCCGCTGGGTATTCTAATGAAAATAGCAATAATCGAAAAAAAGAACGCGTGCAGATGAAGATGGGAAAAGGGAAAAGGCCTCTCTTCTCTCTTTCCCCTTCCCATCGTGCCCCACGCGCTTTCTTTTTCTTTGTCCCCAGTCTCCCTACGACACAAAGAGGCCTCTGCGAAGTAGAGAGGTTTTGCGGGAGAAGGGAGGTTAGAAGGAGCAACAATTTGAAGCCGCTAAAGAGGAAGGGAATCATATAACTTATCAGACAGAAGGGCTGGCAAGGAAGGGAGGAGTCTTTAGAGAGCATACACAGTGCATATGGTTTCTAACAGTCACGAAGTCATAAGAAACAATGGTCAGTGAAGAAGGGTGTCTCTAAAATGTTGAAATAGTTCAGTGTAAACCTTGTGGCACCCGCGTGAAAAAATGCGATACGTTGTGGCATGTCTCCACTCTAGAATGTGACCAACAAATGTCCGTTCAAAAGAAGGATTTTGGTAAACTTTCAAAAATCGTCAGTGCAACGACAAATTTGACTGAGTAACTTAACAAGAATTTAACAGATGATGGATGTGGAAAGTTATTTATTTATATTGTTTTCCAACAAAAAAAAGGAAATACTGATCAAGCTATTTTTAGCAACCAAAAAAATCTTCATGATCACAGTTTCAAAGTCGGTTCCTCCAATACGTAGTTGTTGAAATATTCAGGACCCACTGTATATTGCCAACCTTCCCTTTTTCCTTTTTATTTGCAATCATAAGTTATATTGCAATTACGAAAAGACAGTCAGAGAATTTAGTACAGAGATAACATTTTTCTTAACGAAAAGTTTCAGGTTACATCCATACCTTGTTCCATGGATACTAGATACCTTACGAGTCCTAATTTCTCAGTAAATTCTAGATTTCGATTTCGCTTCCCCGCCGCGCTAAAGATTTCTCATTTTCAAAAGTTTGTGATATTAATAATAAGTAAAGGAAAAACTATGCTACTTAAGAACAATAGTCACGAAGCAATTTTAGACAATATCACTGAGTAGATTATAAAGGTGACTAAAATATCTAAAACCCACTTCAAAAGGCTCGCATGAGAAGAAATACAGGAAGGAAAGCAATAAACGGACATGGCTGTGGGATATCTTGAAGAACGTTTCACGTACTGTTTCGTTCCTAATATAAGTTTTTATATTTAGTACATTTTATGACCGTGTGATGCAGATTCAGGAGCACTCAACGACTGTTTTCTGAAAATATCTGTTCGAAGAAGCAAATATTGCCAAGAATTTTCTATTACTTGAGTACTGCTAAAAACTTCTAGATGAACGTTCCACTCATGTACAATTTTAGAAGCTTATCTAATAAATTCCCTACGATTTTCTAAAGTTTAATTTTCACATTTCACTTCCTAGTTAGGCTATTTTTCGTGGAGAAAAGGAAACCTAAAATTTTCGGACTCAAAAATGCAATGGAGAGAGAAATCAGAAAATGTCTCACTTTCGTAATACTTCAAATTGCATCTAAAATTTTCGGGAAAACACTACTCAAGCCCTTGTAATTTCGAAACTGACTCAAGTTCTCCTAGGATGACCGAACAGATACAGATTTTATAGCGCTGCTTAGAATGCATTTCTCGACATCTGAAAGTACTCTGAATAGCCTAAAATAATAGTAATTTCAATGTATTTACGAGGAAACCGTCGTTGGGTACCCCGGCAGAATACTCGAGAATAATCTTCGCTGTGTGGCTGTGATGAAACGATGAAGTCTGATCTGGAGAAAATTTCGGACGGCCACGGTGTATCGCCAAAAATAGCGTAACCTGTGCCCCCTGTAACAAATGACATTAATAAAGGAAAGCAGGGTTTCCCGCAAAATTTTACAGCACGAGAGTCTTTCAGAGCCATTCAAACTTGCACGTGACAAAAGGGTATATTGGTTTATAAATTTCTTCACAAGAAGTCGCCAAGTTTAGGCCAAGTATCTCCTATTCAGCTGCAAGCCGGATAGTGATAGAAATTTTCGTACATTCACTAAAATAGTAGCGCGTGGAGAGAAATGCGCTTTAGAAATCGATACTTTTTTAAAAACCACATATTTTCACGTCATTGAGCTTTGTGTGCTTTGTGAAAATCGCATTTAACGATGACCTCAGGAGTGACAGTCTATATTATGTTTCAAACAAGTGTTCGATAAAACGCGTTGAAAGTAATGGTTTCCGCTTAGTCATCGTTTGTTACCAGGATTATGCGATAAAACGTGATGGGGCATATAATTCTAGCCAACTATGATGAAAAATGACACACTCATTGGCTGTCAAGTCTCAACTAAGACCGTATAATACAAAGTGATCTTAGAGTCAAACCCATTAGGACAAAATCAAAGCATTTTTCAAGTCACAATTCATCAAATGTTTCGATACAATACTCCTAAAAAGACCGATTTAAAGCAGTCTGCAATCTTAGACGTAAACACAAAGGAAAAATGAAAGCGACTGTTAGAAATTGGCTATTCTTAGAAATCTTCACACTCTTGGATATTACACAAGGCGGAATTTAAACCTTGTGGTGTGCTTGTGGTCAAGGTCTGCCGTTGCCACTACAGGAAAATGGTTATGTCATATAATTCGCATAACTTCCGATGCATTTCCCTTCAAACGGAAGAAAATACTCGTTTTTGAAATATTTAGTATTCAATGCATGGTCACTAGGCCATGAATAATACGACTCTACAAAACTCAAGCCTTAAATCCTTTATAATTAAAACTAAAACACTACTTAATTCAATGACGCCTCAACCTGTTTTATCAAAACGAGATCACACAACAACAACGCTGACCGAGCGCCAATCTTGGGGAAAGTTGTAATTTGCGAGAGACGAGAAGTTAGGAATTTAAATCAAGTTTAATTCATCAGCGAACATTAGAATTGCACGCGTAAATAAACAAACATAGTGTGTCCTACGTATGTCATTACGAAATAGGTCACGAAAGAAAATTAAACGATGCTAGCAAAATTAGAGCAACTACCAATACAACTTCGACATTGACTGCAATTAGAGAGAAGAAATCCAACGATACGGCGAAAATATAATTAAGAAATAACAAGAGCCCTTTGTCAACATGATCATTATTCATCTTCAACGTGGAAATTATTCACAATGCATTATAATACGAACAATTTGCATGAAAATATATTTCACATGTATGCTAACACTATCTTACGACCCATTCAGAAACGATAATTTGCTAAAGCAGAATAGAAAAGTTGATTCTAAGAAGTATGATTAGACTGCTGGGTTTGTTTGAACGCGCTCTACAGGAATGTGATTCCGTGACCCTCAAAGAGCTGGGAGTCAAACAAGAGCAACTAGTGTCAAGTCGTTCGACTGGTTTAACCTTCCTGTCGTAATATCATCTGATTCTGAGGTCTTTAAAATCTACAAACCATATTTTAAAGCTGAAATTGTTTGAAAGCAAGCATGTGAATACATTGTGTTTTAAAGAGGTTACCAAACTCTTGGCGTTTTTAGGCATATTTGGACTTAACTTTGCCTCAGTATTTGCTCTGTAATCGCTATATTCAACTACGTAATAGATGAATAACTATCAAGATCTCAGTTTGATTATATGCCGCTTAACCAACTTTTAGGGCCTTCAAACCTTAACACTGACGCAATTAAACGTGATTGCTGGATACGAAAGTCTTAGAAGGCGAAAACAGAACGTAGAAAAGCCAGAAACGTACCTTGAAATCAAAGGCGTGTGAAGCACCCGTCCACAAAGTGAGCATGCTATTTTATGCATGATGTGACACATTATATCACACTATAAAGCTGCATATCTTGACAGGTTTGTGGGAGGGGGGGAGGCTGATCAAGAAGCTTACCGGTAATACAGGTTTGTGCTTGTATCAAAACGAAGACAATTTCATTAGGTCTCTGTCTGATTTTGTTCGTTTTTAAAAATGTTTACTAATTTCTTGGGCGTAAAAATCGAACGGTAAACGATGCGTAAGGAACCTAATACCCCAACGAGAAGCCTTTTGAAACACATGTCAATTCACACGTAGGCTTAGCGCGTAGCGTTTCGCTTCAGAGGGCAGGGGGTCATTAGAGACGCTTTTCTAGAAGTCGGGCCTCACGTATGCGTGTGTGAAAGCCAATCTTAATACAGAAGTCAAGCAAACAGACGTTTAACTCGGCGCAAAGAAGAGTGAATAGCGTCTTATATAAAAGAAGTTCATATGTAATGAGATGAGCGTCGAGTTCCTTGTTCGGATGGGGGGCCGTATTCGACTGAGCTATGGTTTTTGTTTTTGAATTGAAATCTGCGAATATATTCCGTCAAAGGAGCCGCCAGTGATAAACGTGAAAAGAATCAGACATAGATCAACGTACCTCGGCAGCCCACATTTCAAATTACCTGTCACTGCACTGGCCCACTCCCCTTGAAAGTGAAATGGTCCACCCCTTACAAGCGGATGGATTTAAAATTCAGTAGATGAAAAATGCGGAACGGTCATTAAGAAAACAGTCTAAAGAACTCTTTCACAGTAATGAGGGCAAATATTTCGATTTCCTGTTGCATTTAATACCCCCATAAGATATAGAGCAGCGAAACTGCGTAATATTAGTGGCTCAATTTCGAGAGCAAGCTGTATCACAATGCTTAATTCTAAGTTAAACAACAGAAGTAAAGTATTCGATTTCTATCCGCAGCGTCATCATGTCGCCAAAACTGGAACTAAACATATCGACAGCTGATTAGTCGTGTTATAGAAGATAGAATCGTTGCTCTTATAAAGAAGACAAACCGCTTAAAAGATATTCAATTGGGAATCTAAAGCGGCTTCTTATGGCACTCTGTCAAACTGACCTGAATGTCGGCTCTTGTCTTAAATGTGGCCAGTCGAATACAAATGCAATATCAAATCGCTTACCTTCCTGAACTGTGTAGACGTTCTAGCAGAAAGAAAGGTTGCCCGATCTTGACAGATTATATAAAACTGGCTATAACCACTGACCACTGCATAGAAGACCAAAGACTGCATACTAAACTTTGCATTTATCGAGTAACACTATGCATAAACTATGAGTTCATAGTTTGATTCTAATTCAGTGTATCAAACAATGGCTGCTTTTGCTTGAAACGACGTATTACCAATTACATTAGGCTTATGACATGTATGGTGAGATGAAAGGAAATCTTGTGATTGACTGTATATACTCACTGTTCAAGGCTTTCTACCGTTCCTGGAATGTCCGACAGCACTTGAAAACCAGAACTCAAGTCTCTGAAATGCTGCCCGCCGTGGGTCCCCGGGGACCTGGCGCTTATATTCAAGATCCCAAGGGAGATATTGGGCACTCCTACCCTAACCCCTAAATTCAGGGCCCGCGGAGCAAATCATGGTATCACACTGTAGGTTCCTGTAACCCCTTTATTTTGTCTATTGTGTCATCGAAATGCGTCAGAGACCACATCATCAGCCGATATAATTCGTTTTAAGAAACTGTAGTTTGTGGAGTAGTCTTCAGATTTAATCGAGAACCTTCATCAAAAACGAATCTATTCCGCATCGTTGCAAATGCTACATAGCCTTGGCCGGTTTGAAAACGCAGAAGCCTAGGACTAAGTGCAGTTTTGTAAAGATAGGCGTTTTGAGCCTTACTACGCATCAGACTGATCGGATCGAAACAGACCAATAAAAAAATTAGATGTTGGAAGATTCTTATTCCAACAAAGATACTATTTAAATCATATGAAAATGTATCTTACAGTAAAACCTCTATAAGGAAGTGCTCGGTCTAACGAAATTGTCTTTTTTTTTTACTCCAGTAACAGTTAAATATAAAGCAATATGAAAAAGAACCTCGATATAAGTTAACGAGCCTCATTATAACGAACATATTTTGGCAGTCCCTTGGCCCTTCGTTATATCGAGGTTCCGCTGTACTTATTTTTATTTATTTATTTTTCAAAAAGTGGGGGGAGGGCCTCTGGCTCAGCCCCTCCCCCCGCGCGGGCCCTGAAATTTATTTGACTTTTGAGGGATTGGAAGAAAAAAACACTTACACTTCTACAAGGGATACTTGGACGTAAGTAATAAGGCTTCTAACGCTGTATGTAGAGGTGAATTAGGTAGATTTCCATAACAGTTGATATTAATGAAAAAATTCTACTCACTACATCATGTATCTTTTTGAGAAGGATGAAGACTCTACTGTCCAACAAGCATTACTTGTATCTATAAATCTTTATTCTAATGGTAATACTAGTTTTTATAGTAATATTATGGAATTATCCAAATCTTATAACCTACCGGATTTTGTTCCCAACAATTTAGAGAAAACCAAAATATCAAGATTTATAATATAAAAAAAAGCGCGTGCACTGATTGGTCAATTACCCATTTTCTATTTGCCCATGGGTGAATAATGACGAAAGCCAGCGCGCGCTCAAAGCCGTACGCGTCACTTTCTACCTAGCCACTCTATTTTCTCTCTTAGTTTTCAAAGGTTTTGATATGATACTGAAAGAAAGTTTAAAAACGTCAAAGGTTTCGTAATCCACATTGAGACGGAGGACTCAATTCAGCAAAACCTTTTTTTTGAAAGCATTGAACGATTTGCGCGCGCCTATAGCGCGAACAGATGACAACACTCACGTTATTCCCCTACTATCTTTCAGCAAAATTAAAAGTTTTTCTCTCTTGATTATGTTATAAAACAAACTGTAAACGGCTCAGCGTGTACTATTGAGTTATAGTTGCACTTGGAAGGATTACTAAAATTACTAAATGTACCCAAGAAGCTGGAGTCTCACTCCACGGCTATCACCTTGAGCGATTCTTACGCCTCTTTCGTGCCTGGCAATCTCCCGCGTGCCACTATTTAACAAATCGACCACAATTTTCTAAGGTCTACACACTTTTATGAAATAACTAAGATAGTATGGGGGCATTATTACTCATTCCTTCATTACTTGTAAACTGTACGTTGAGCAGCCTGGATAAATCCCCCAACCAGTGTTGTAAATTATCCCTGAAAAGCCCTGAGGGGAGTGGATAATATGATATTTACATTCACATTACATAGTACGCGCGTTCTGATTGGTTAAAAACTTATGGTTTATTGTGCTGGTAAACTCATAGAAAACTGAAACATTTTCCGTTTTACTTAAAGTCATTTTATAAAAGGAATAGACCACACTTTCTATGGGTTTACCGGCGTGATAACCCACGCGGGACGTTGGGAGAACACAAGAAAAGCTTGTAAATCACTCGCCGAAGATGGAAATAGCGTAACATGTCACGCCTGATTTTTCGAGGAACTTCACAGGAAACTAAATTCAAGTGGAAACACGAGCCACAGCTGAGTGGCTGGTCCAAGCAAAGTTTTGAACATTTTATGCCGTCATTTCTTTGGTCTACAAGAGTGTAGAGTGTGGAAAATTGTGGTCGATTTTTTTTTTCACAATAACATTAATTTCTGGTTTCATGCAAAGTTTCTCGGAAAATCACGCGTGACATGTTACGTCATTCCCATCTTCGGCGAGTGATTTACAAGCTTTTCTCGTGTTCTCCCAACATCCCGCGTGGGTTATCACGCCGGTAATCCCATAGAAAGTGAAGTCTATTGCTATTATAAAATAACTTTGAGTAAAACGGAAAATGTTTCAGTTTTATATGAGTTTACCGGCACAATAAACCATAAGTTTTCAACCAATCAGAACGCGCGTACTATCTTAGTTATTTTATAAACTCTCATAGACTATAGCGGCTTGACCAATCAGCGCGCGAGGATTCGCTCAGTTATTGTAAAAAACTCATTATTGCACGCTGAGCCGTTTGCCATTTGTTAAATAAAGATATTATGAAACAGAAGTATATAGTATGTAGTATTTAGTTAATTATACAAGGAAATTAGAGTTTTATGATACGTTTAAGCTTCAAGTTATTTAAACCTACTGGTAAAACAATCGATAAAAAGGCTTTGGTAAAATTCCGCTCGAGCAATCATAAACCTATGATCGAGACTGGAAGATATGACCAAACTCCCTGCGACAAAAGATTATCCCCAGTTTGCGATTTCAATAAAATTGAAGATGAAATTCACTTTCCCCGCTATTGCCCACAATTTTTAAAACTTACTCTGGAGATAGAATTTTTTCACCGACATATAACGGTGTAAGATTTTTCCCAGCATCATGATACGCCATGAGGGCAGGAGCCGATTAGTACTAATCGTCTCCTGATGAGGGATATTTTTCCCCCAGGTATTTCCTTGCAAGATTTTTTTCCCTCGAAAACAGTCTGCAGGATAATGTTTTAAACAAATCACCCATACCACCGCACCCCCCCCCCCCCCCCCCCCCCCCCCCCAAAAAAAAACCCCCACAAAAAAAAAAAAAAAGAAAATCTTTTCCTCCCCCAACACAATAAAAAAAAAAAAAAAAACTAATCCTGCCCCTCCTCCACCCAAAAAATTATAAGAAGTGGTGTGGGGGCCTATTTTCGCCATTGGAAAATGGCAGAAGTGATTTTTGCCCTCATGCTGATTTAGAAGATATTTTTTCACAAATAAAAAAAAATCAGAGTAAAATTTTTAAAAATACTAACCACGCCTCGGCACCCCCCCCCCCCCGCGTCTTAAGTCAAATGGTCAGCCCCTAAATAAAAGAAGACGGACAGTTTTCCTTCGCAGCTTGAAAAATTCTAAAGGGAATGAATTGACCTTGGCCAGCTTTGACCTGCAACATATTTGTAAGAGAGTCGTCTGGTAGCTAGGCCCAGCGGGTTTTATTCTCACCTATTCAGTGCAATTAAAACAATCCCGGCGTTACTTTCAAAAGAGTGTAGTGGACTCGGCGAATCATTGATTCTGGCTTTTCTTCATTCCCGTCATATTTTTAAGGAAGGGTTTCTTTTAAAAAATTCCTTTACATGACAGCGGTATATCTCGCTCTTATATCTTTAGTTTGCTATTCCTCAAAACGTATTTTACAGCGTCTTAATTATACCCGTCAGCTT